TTACGCTAATATGAAGAACATATTGTGTAACATTTCGGTCGATCATCCAATCAGATTTAAAGCCCGCTATGCTTACAAAATCTAAATCTAAAGCATAGCATACGGATCATAATACATGTTATCATATATAACACACAACTATTGGCATAATATTAATTCTTACTTTAAAATTTATTATATATACTGCATTTTCTTTCATTTGATGAATTCCCGCCGTAATTTGGATCGTAATTTCTAAAAATACAAGAATTTCGGAATTTGTTTAATGCTATGAACTGCAATACCTTCGGGGCTAATTTTTCATTTACAGTAGAAGTTTATGTCTTAATTATACAGTCGGAACAACGTAACAAAATTTAATATACGCATATGCGGGGAATGCACATAAAATTTTTTACTTTAATATTAATAAATACGCGATCATATGAATGCGGATGTTCTTTTCGGGCTTAATTTTTATGCTAACATTAATTAATTATCTGCTTATTTACAATAATGTTAATAAGGTTAATAAGGTTAAAAAGGTTAATAAGGTTAATAAAGTAGATAATGGGCTTATGCTTTTTTAAAAGATTTACAAATAAAGTATTTTAATTAGTAAACCACAGATGGATACGAATCTAACTACTAAGCCTAATGATTTATGTTCGATGAAAAAATATATATATATTGGAGAGCTGTATTAGATCTAGATCGTAACGTAACGTGCGTTACGATCATTACGTAACGCAAGTTCAAGATAAAGATTATGCAGAAATGTTTTGACTAGCAGTTCACGAGGATACACAAATGACGAATCCAATTATAAAGGCGTTTTCTGATTGGCCAATAATCTTATAAAGTCCCCATGCTTTTGAATTCTGGTCCAATATGTACTTGATCACAGTTTTTCTTACTTGTTCTCTAAATTTATATTAACAAAAGACCGGTCTCTACGAGTTGCACTTGGAGAAATTTGACTATTAGCGTAAATGCACTTGTATAGTTTATTGTATGAAAAATAAAAATAGTTTACTCAAATTTCACGTTAATAAAAAAAAAAATTAATTTATTATCCATTATAGGATATTGTAATTTATCGCTATAGCGATGTATCGCTACCCCCTGATCGACCAATTAGAATGCAAGATCAGGTGTAACGTGAAATCGAAACAAAACATTGAATTTTTTGACAAATTGTTCCTTGCGCAATTTTACTATAAACCTCATCTTATCGCCTTCACACTACCTTCACCTCACCCTAACACTAACTAATGAAAAAATCAGGTTATTTTGGATTGTTTTGATTTCACGTTACACAGATCCTATAGGTGGCGATATATCGCTGCGAAAAATTATAAAATTCTTTATTGGATATTATATATAATATACATATAATATTTTAAATAAGTAAATAAAAAGAAAATAATTCTGAGCTTTAATTTTGGCATAAATTATGATGACTCATACGTCACATGATGATTGCAGCTAAAGACTAAATTATGTAGTTCTGCATGCCAAATTATATACCTGTAGTACACTACATTCTCAAGGAGAAATACTATTGCCAGTAGTGGGAGATGTATCTGTCTTGTTAGAAGTTAATATTGAAGTATCGACAATGTTTTCATAGAATTTAAGTCTCTTTTCGAAATTATCAAGTTTAATATCAGGATCATTAGATCGTAAATCTACGGTCAATGGTAAGAATTTTTCATTATATTTTTCTCTGAACGGCCTTAATCTTTGTACAAAACCCCATGGATAGATTATGCCATATCCTAAAACAAAAGAAAAGAAAATTCCATAGTAATAAATTAGTAAATTAATTCTTGTGATTTAATTTTAAAGGTCAACTTACCAAATAAAAACATATAAAAAGCTGCCATGGAACTCCAAATTCCACCAATAATACCCAATAAGCTAAAAATCTATTAATTTAAATGACAATAATTAGTTTTTTGTTTGCTGAAGTTAATACATATGTATACTACTTACAGATTTGCTCCTATTATGATAATTATTTATAAATTGTTCGCAAATATTGATTGTATTAATAAAATGGATTCATTTAAGATTATTTACCTTTGTTCTATTTCTTTTCTTATAGCGAGATTAGTAATTGGGACAAACTGTACCATTGCATGAAAAGTTCCATTTATATTCTCTATATCATTAATCAACATGAATATTTAAACGGTACAAATAAATGATATAAATAGTAATAAGCGTGATTTTTAATAAATTGCACCTACGGAAAGAAGTTTGATAACTTGTATCCGGAAACGGGACAGCCTCTATAGTTAAAATAGCAATAAATAACTTCAGTATAATATAAAATTAAAAAGAATTTAATACAAGTATTCTTACGTATATCTGATTCAATATAAGGTTGATTCCCAGACTCGGTATGCAATGAATATCCAAGATAACCTAAAAATGGTGAACTTATGGGTTGCCTTATAACTCTATTAAATCTCCAAAAATATGTCTACAAAATTTAAAATAAGTAAATTTACAAAATACTTGTTACACTTTAAATTTTTAAAGATACATACATTTCCATCATTTCTAGGTTTCGATAAATAATATATATTTTTCAAGGCAATTGTTTCTTCAAATGGGGTTAATAAACTTGATGAATTTTGGGACTTTTTATGTAGATCATATTCTAAATCACATTTGTAGTTTGTATTATTATCAATCTCAAAGTAATTAAAAGATGCTATTGATTTATAAAACCTTGCCTGCATCATAGGCTTCCATCATCACGGGAGATGTTTGATTGGATGAGTTATATCTAGGATCCGTGATAAAAATGTAAAGTGTAATCATAGGAATTACTTTAGAAGTCGAGGTATAATTTGATACGAATGCTCCAATGTAAGGACGAGGGTTGTTCGGGGTATCATCATATTGGGGTTGATTGATATAATTAGAACAACTACCAATTTCTAAAATAATTAAGTCAGATATATACATGATTTAAAATAAATGATAAAAATAATTAAAATATTTACGTGAATTTAAAAAATAATTACAATAAATTGTAAAATTATACACTGGCGATCATAAGTAGTGCAACAAAAAAAAAAATTTACTTAGATCATACTACCTCCCGCAATTCCGGCC